AGGTAGGTCCAGAAAATTGTGGTGGCTTTCCAAGACAACTGCTTCTCTCAGGAGATTTTTAAATTAAAGGGAAGGTGATTCTGTACCACTGCAGAAGGAATTTCTATAGTACTTTGTTTCTTGTAGCAAATGAAAGCAGGAGGTAGTAATTAACTTCACACAAAATGTTAAAATGTGGTTTGCTTGTTTGTGACTTGTTTGCTGCATGGATCAATTATATAAGTCAATAAACCTTGATTAATCAAACCATGATTTAATGTGTTCTCTGAATACATTCATTGATGTGGGAAAAGGAATAAATTTTGAGATAAAATCAAATCTACTTCAGGTGCTCCTAGTAATTGGCTGTTCTCAAATTCAGCAAAAGGACTACCGACCTGTATGCATTATGTGCAATAAAACTTTCTCAAAAATCTTGACAAAGCTTCTGCAGATAATTTGCTTTAAAATAAGTATCTCAAAGAGAGGCTTTTGTTGTGTGCCCTGAGAACTGGAGTTAAAGATGCATGCCTCTCTTGATTCATGATGGATTGGGGAATGTCTAAGTACTTGGCTATATGCCTAAGTTATCTGGCGATGAGCCGTAGTAGTGCACTAGTTAGAATGCAGTATTGCAGGCTAAGTCTGCCTGCTGCCAGGGATTTGATCCTAGCCTGCTCAAGATTAACTCAGGTTCTCATCCTGAGGTTGTTAAAATGAGGACCCAGATTTTGGGGGGCAATATGCTGACTCTGTAAACCACATAGTGCTGTAAAGCACCGTGAAGTAAGTGCTGTTGCTATGCATAAGGTATTGAGGCACAAACTAGCTTGCTAACTTATCCTAGGGTGTATATGCAGAGTGGCTGCAGCAGATATTGATCATCCATGTTGGTGTCCTTTCATTTCAAATAAAGGTTAAAATCAGTTGCTAATCAAATATCCTATATTTAACTTTTTTTTTTTGCATTAGCCAATAAGTCTCATTTCTATAACCTTTAATGAGGCAAAATGGTGTGCCAGAGTAAAGCATTTTGAACCAAGGTACCTCAAATGGGCTAATGTACAGATTCCATCAAAAACCTAGGACTCATGATGCTTGAAGGAATGAATTCTGGGGAAGTTGTAGCTACTTCAAGCTGCTGCTGTGGTGACATGACAGTTCCCAGCTACTGTCACAATCCCTCACTCTTTGCCTGTGGGGAAGGAAAGAGGGAAGGAAGGAAAGAAGAAAGGGAAAGAGGAAAAGGGAAGAAGTTCCCCTGTGCATTCTTCCTGGCACACACCCCCCCCAAACCCATATGGCACCTCATGTACATCCCCATGCACTCTTCCTCATCTGTACACCCCATCCCCAGCATGCCATCAGTGATTCACACCACTCACACATGCTCCCAAGCACCACCAGGCACTCTATCGCCTCCTTTACACCCCCCTCTGCCCCAATTGCACACACTCACATCCATGCAGCTTTTTTAACCCACACCACTGCTCCCTTCACAACCTACACAACTATGCAGCATCTCTTGGGCATGTCCTTGCATAAGCACACCAACGTGCCTACCGTCCCTGTCCTATTCTTTTATTTTTCTTATATGTACCCATTTCATGTATTCATAACTGTGTATATACTTATACCTATTATCTTGTAAGCTATTGACAAATCAAAATAAATAAAAATAAAAAACCTGCACCCCCTTGCTCCCTCCCCCTACACAGCAGCAACCACTTACCTGCTTGTTGGCCTTGAGGTTGCAACTTCCTGCTGGCTTCCCCACTGCCTTTTTTTCTCTGCAAGCTTCCCACTAGCAAAGTAAATGGGGAAGCCACCAGGGAGGGAGGGAGGGGGAGGGAACAGTCAAGAAGGGGAGAGAAGACAAAGGGAGGAAAGATTTCTGATTCTCCCTGCCAGTTTCCCAGAGGTAAACTCAATGGGGAAGAAGCAGGCAAGAAATTGGAAAGCACTTTCGCTCTCAACTGGTTTTTTTTTTTTGCCCAGGTCATTCTATTTAGGTTAGGAACTACATCTGAAATGACCCAGCTGAGTATGAGTTGTTTCATGAGATTCAGGAACAGCAAAAATTATGACAAGAGATTCATTCCCTGCTCCGTTCCCTTTTTCAAGGATTTTGGATTTGAAATATTATGCATTGCACCAAATGAGTAGACTGGAAAATGTCTATGATATTATTTATCCATCTACTGAATTTAACTTTCAAGGAATTGGTGTAGTTGCTACACTAAAGGACAAAACAAGTCCATCTCTCTTCATTTTCCCTAGGTGAAAATAGATAGCCTTTTCCCTCTAGAACTGTCTTGCTGCTGCTGATCCACAAGGGAGTATGATTAACAGAACCCAGCTGATGCCCTCCTATATCTTCAAATATGATGTCATGTTAGGGATATGCCCTAGGATTTGACACTTCAGGGACCTTGGAATGCTGGCAGACATTTCAAGGCTTAGGAGCAATTAAATTATATGTCTTTTAATGATTCTGGATCTCATTTAGTATATTCAGTAAAAGGTATCGGATGTATTTCTGCTTTTTAGTACTGCACTGTTCTTGCTTTGGTTGCTAGAAAGGAAATCATTTAACAAACCAAGATAGTGGGGATGAGGAGGGAATAAGTTATTAATGACTTTTTAAATAAACAATTGAAAAATATACAATACAGGAAGCTCGGGTTAGTTATCAATGGAAAACCTAGAAAGGGTCAGCATTCACTTTTGAAGACTGGCTTTGGCTTGACATTCAAGAAGTTTCATGTGCTATTCCCAGCATCTTGAAGTCCTGGCAATGAAGATAGGGGGGAAGGGTCTTGTAGCTGAAAGACAGAGGCAGAGCAACTCAATGTACAAAATATTGGACAAAGAGACTGCCGTGAAACATCCGGAGTAGTAATTATAGAGAATATCTGTTACACCTCTGTATAATTAACTGTTCAAGACTCATTTCCTTTTGATTAATTTATGCAGGGATCTCGTCTTGGTATTAAACTAATCATCAGCATTCACTCATTCCTAAAGCAGAAATCACTGGCACCCAGAAGTTGTCATTTGTTTCTTTGCTTGAATTGGTGCTCTTGAGTTTGAGCCTTTTATTATAAAGCACAATCAGGCTGTCAGACAGAGGAACACCATGGATTCTTCTGAGAGCAAGGAATTTCTAAATTTCAATCCTTTTAAAAAGCATAAGATTTTCTGAGTGTAATTTGAACAGCAAAAGTTAACATACCAAATTTGAATTTCAGAAGGTGTCTTAATAAGTTGGACCACTGGGATTTATAGTCTTTGAGGGCACTGTCACAATTATGAATTTTTATTTTTTTTATTTGAACCCTCAGGTCCATTAATCAGATCTAGACAGAAAATAGTGTCTTGAAAGGACAGAATAATCAACAAAATGCTTTTGAACACATACTTTACTTAGAAATTTCTTTTCAAGTCCAGAACTTAAGCCTTTTGTGTATATATAGTTCAGGTGATATTTCCCATCCATTCTTAAAACCTCAACTGATATTTTCAGAAAGGGAAATAACTAATTGTGAGCCAGAACCAGTGCTGCATATCACCAATAGAGCCTCATTTTCTGTTAGGCCCTTACCTAGTCCAATGCAATGTGTCACAATAATTCTTCAAATTCCTCATTTCTTTAAACTAGAGATATTAGGAACAAAATCTTGGATTAAATCCATATAAAATATCCATTCTGTATCCTGAGCTAAGTAGCGTATTTACTCTGCAGGCTTCGGTTTCTTCATCTGCCAGAACCTGGATTCTCTTCCAACAGGGGTCTCTTGTTAAATTTGACTTCCAATAATTAATTTTCATTAATTAGTATCACCAAGTTGGGATCATTTAGACCAGGGTATGGCCCTTTTATGACTTGTGGACTTCAACTCCCAGAATTCCCTACCTTTGATTTAGACTATCAGTTCCCACCCTCTGCTCAGTGCAGAAATCCAAATTAAAGCATCCCCTGAATAACATTTTGCTGGATCATTGGTTCCACTATGGAATTGTTCTTGCAGTTAGAAAGTTCTTTATAAATTTCAGTTAGAATCTTTCTTGATTTGCATGACAGAAATCCCCAAGATGCCCTATTATTCAATGGATATTGCTGAATAAGGTACCCCTCTTCCATCAATCGGTTCATTAAAATGGGGTTTCACTCTTTTAACTTCTACTCAGTGCTGCACATGTTCCTATTAAATTTCATTCTGATAATGCCAGCTAGTTCTTCAAGGTTTTGAATTCTATTTCTGCCTTCAAAAGTAGTAGCTATCCCACCTAAACTTGTTTATACTTCAAGCTTTTCATATTCACACCTTTTCATTCAAATCATTAATACAAATAATGAGAAAATCCAGTTTCTGGTCCTGTAGTATTTAATACTTCTCCAACTTGATGAGGCTCCATTAATTGAGCACTATTTAAATACAATTTTCAAGCAGCTCTGTATCCACCTAAACCAAGGATCTTCAAACTTGGCAAGGTAAGACTTGTGGACTTCAACTCCCAGAATTCCTGAGCTAACATGACTGGAGGAGGAATTCTGGGAGTTGAAGTCCACAAGTCTTAAACTTTCCAAGTTTGAAGACCTCTGACCTAAACTGTCATGCTGTATCCAAGCTATCCTCCATTAATGACATTTAGGACTGAGATTGCCATTACTGATGCAGTCATAAAACGCAACATCATGTGACCACGCTGCTTGTAACTCCAGCAGTCCCAGTTTACCATTATTAAGCAAAGACCTCATGTGACTCAACTTCCTGCCACTTCTCCATTGACTTTGCTCATGGGAAACCAGCAATCACAATCATGTAATAGCAGCTCACTGCAATATCATAAACTGAAAACCGGGCACTATGCATTCAGATCACAATCACATGACCACAGGGACACTGCAACAGTTGGAACTGTCAGAACTGGTCCTAAGTACCACTCATTCAGTACACTGTTGCAAGTTCAAACAATAGCTGAACAAATGGATGTAAGCCAAAGACTATCTGTGCTTAGTTAAGACATTCTGTCAAAGGCTTTGTTGAAATCAAGATATATCTGTAGTATTCCCACAATCAAGAAAGCTATTCAATCAAAGATAAGGTAAGATTTAATCTGGGAATCTTACTTTTGAAGGCTGGGATATTTTCCTCCAATTGCCTTTAATGTCATTTTAAAGACATTATATAGTGATTAAAACTGATGCAATTCTGATCCCAGATAATTACATTCATTAAGGTAAACAAGTATTTTCTGATCATGTTTCTGTCAGTTGCAAACTCAGTTCTGGCCTTATCACAATTTTATGATGAAAGAGTTTTTGGTGGAAGTCTGATTAGCTTTTGTCATTTCTTTCTAATCTGTTAAAACAATTTGCTTTTATTGGTATGACAATGTGTTATTTTTAGCATCCTTTACTAATGCACATCCTGATAATTTTTACTGTATTTACATAAGCTGTGCAGTTCTATATTACCTGTCTATATATTGTGACTTGGCATCCTTGCATTTTCTGACATGTCCTTTTAAAAAAAAATCTGGCTTCTTCAACAGTCTACTACCAGCACCAACCACCCATTTTACTTTTTGCAACTGTATTTTAATAAAATCTCCATTAGAAATGTTCCTCCACCTTCAGCTTCCTTTTCTGTTACCTGATTCATGTGGAATCTAATAAATACTTGGAGTAGCTACAAATCCAGTTCTTAACATTCCAAGATGTATGCTTAATTTTGGATTCTTTTCAAATCAAGAACTCCAGCATTAACAGAGTGACTCTTCCATAATATTCCTGCTCTTTCCAACACCTTTCAAAGGAGAAAACTGTCAAGGAAGGCATGGCAAATTCTTCCTGGAAGGATCATGTTTTGCACAATTTCTCTCAACAGATTTAAGGGCAGAGTTTCTTATCACGGGGGCTTCATTCTGCTTAGAAAGATCTACAGTTCGCGTTTATTTTCTGATGGGTTGGATGGACAATGGTATCTTACAATGGCAGAAAATGTTGCAAATGACTGTTCTAAACAAAATGTGATGGAAAGCAGGTTAGGACGCTTGCATGCCAAACACCTGAGGGGAAAAAAAATTCCCATTTTAATAACGTTCCATTTTCTTTCCTCACCATTATCTGGAAGGAATCTTTACTTGAAATTTACTTATGAAACACTAATGTTCCAGGCTATTTGCCATTTTATTGCAGAAGCACCACTTAAGAATATATACATCAAATGAAGGTGTAGGAGACAACACTGTTACTTATGGTCAGAATAAACCTTACGCAATATTTTTAACCTTAAGGGATTTTTTTCAAAGATGTGGCATATAAACAGTTCTATACTCACTGGAATACTGCTCAAGGGATTTGGGGGCATTTCGTAAAATGTGAATGCAAATTACGGGCAGCATTCAAATTATGAGAATCCGTCGTCAGACTTAACCATTCAACTGTGTGAAATTCGTGCAGCGATGGAGTTAAATAAGCAACACAAAAGTCTGTGTCGGTTGCCGTCCTTACTATTCCTAGAATAAAACCGCCAGGGTCTTTGAAAATTAAAATAACACACAACTCGGGCAACCCCCCGCCCTCCCACCATGCATAATAACACAGCAAAGATCCCAACCCGAGAAGAGCACTTGGAGAGCCATCTAGCCTGACGGAAGAATTGGCAAAGCTAGTTCGCGATTTTGAAGCTTGTCGGTGGGTCGTTCCGGAGAGGCTGCCGTGTTTCACTTTCTGCAGCCGGTGATCCGATGAACGCGGACGGAGGCAAGAAATCTTCCCCGAGCAAGTCCGTCGCGCTCCTGTTATGAAACGCTCGGAGAAGCGACGCCTTCTCGGTAGGGCGACTAGGCTGTGACTAGGCCGCGCGGGATATTCCGAGCCCTGGTTCGCTCTTCTCGCGACGAGGCCAGCCTGGACACAATCGGAGCGCCCTCGGAAGCACCGCCCTGCCCAGGCTTGACGGCGGCCGCTCCTCCTCCTCCTTTCAGGAGGCTCAGCAGGGCCGGGCGTATCAGTCGCCGCCGCCGCCACCTCTTCTCTCCTCGGTGGGAGCTGCGCGCCCCAACACGTGGAAGGAAGCGCCAATCTCTCCGGCCACACACCAGCGGCCTTCGTTGGTTGCGTGAGCCCTATTAGTCCGGCCTCTCCACGTGGCCCCAAAGTGCCGCGTAAAGAAAGAAGGGGGAGCTTTGCTGCATCATCAGCTCCCCGGTCTCCAATCTCCGGGCCGGCCTTCCGACGCCGATTTCTTTAACCCTCGCCTAGTTACAGGTCCAACTCTACCAACTGTTACCTCTCTTTCTCTCCGCCTCCAACTCTTCCATTTTACGCCAAATAAAAGGGAGGGGGTGGCGGTAGAGGAGGAGGAGGATTTTTGCCAATGCAATCTAATTAATAGCTTAACCGGGAGGAGGAGGAGGAGGGAACAACCCAAGTGAATTAGGCACCGTGTGCGCGCATGCTCTTCCGACCGACTGCACGTGTAAGAAGCGCATTTGGTAAAGGAGGGGGCGATGGAGCGGCAGGATCAGAAGGAAGGAGGAATCTAGCCGGCTGATTTAAAAGAGGAGGCTTCTTTTCTACATTCCCCCACCCACCCCCTTCCCCACGATTTTGGGAGACGACGTGGGGGGAAAGGGAGAAAGGAAGCGGATTCTAGAGGACGGGATCTCCTCTGGATCGCGAGCCAGCAGTCTTGTAAGTGCATCCTTTTGAAAGTTTTTTTTCCCCTTAATGAAACCGGGGGGGGGGGGGGGGGGGAGAGGGAGGGCGGCGGTGTGGAACCTGCGTCAAAAAGCCTCGGCTTAAAGGCCTCTCTCCAAGTTCGGCTTGTAGTAGTTGGCGCGACCCTAAAAGCTCCCCGGACAAGTTGGAAGAGCGGGGTGAAATGTGGCCCTGAGGCTCCCTACGTTGTCGCCGAGGTTTGCAGGCGCCCCAAGAAGAGCTCGAAATAAAATACGTTCTTGTAAACCCTTGCGGCTTTCGAAATGGTTTTTTTTTTTTTTAAGACTCCCAAGGAAGTTGATTCTGGGCTTACTTCATGGAGGGGAGCGGGGAGCAGAAGCGATGATCTGGAGGTGGGTTGCCCTCTCTTCCTCGCTCTTCGAAATAATGTTTTTTTTTTTAAAATCATTCTAAAACAAAAGCAGCATCGCGTGAGGCTGATCTGTAGCCCGCCGGCCTTTTCCTGGTTTGTTTTGTGGGTGCGGGCCCCCCCCCGAAATATTTGTTTCGGAAAGTTGTAATAGCTGCTCCCTCCCCCCACCCCCTTTTGCTGCCCGTGCCTGCTTCCTCTTCCACCATCACACACGCTTGGGAAGCGAATGTAGAACTAAGATTGGGGGGGGGGCAGAGGGGGAAAATGACTGGGGATCCCCTCATCCCCCCCCCTTTTTTTTTTGCTATATAAAGTCGCGGTTTCAGAAACAAACCCTCGTGGGACCCGTCCGCTACTTTTGTTGCAACAACAACAACAACAACAAAACAAAACAACCAGGTGTGAGTTTTAGGGCCGCTTCGTTTGGAGGAGGCCGGCGAAGGGCTCTGAACGGGGTGCTCCAAGTTTGGACAATGGGGTCCTGTGTTCCAGAGATGATGGCCCTGGAGAAGAAGAGATCGCGGAGGCAGCTCTCGGGGAGTTTGGGGGTGGGGGTGGTGGGGGGATGGGGAGAGAATCAGCCTTAAGAGCGGAGGGGGGGAGGGGCGGGAACCTTAAGGGGACACATCGGTGTTTTCTTCTGGCCCTTAATCTGGTTTGCAGCCGGAAAGAATCCGATGTCAAAGTAAAAGTCTTCCCCTCTCTCCTCCCCTCCCCCCCCCCCCCCGGTCCTGTTCACGTAATTATTTTGCCTTCGCTTTAAACATGCGTAAAGGGGGGGGGGGTGTTGCAAGCTTCCCCCCCCCCCCAGGAGTCTGGTCGACCTTGTAGTTCCCCCTTTCTTACCCCACCCCTTCCTAGATGCTTGTCCCTCCCCTCCCTTCCTTCCAGGACGGTTGTGGGTGGTGTTCTCCTAAAACCCCTTGCATATTTTTTTTTGAAATTATGTTCCACCGAAGTTAATAGAATTGCAACGTATTTTAGAGATGGCACTCTGGCAAAACTTTCCTCTCGTTCTAGGCTAGGGCAAATACTCCCATTCCCAGCCATGTCTGTCTACATCTTTTTTTCACAGTCACCCCCCTGCTTTTAAGTTTTTATAAAATTACAAATGCAACATGCAACTCTCCTTCCTATATTAAAAAAAACAAAAACAAAGGAACACTGAGGAAAGAATTGGCAACACGTTCTCTCAGGACATAGCAAAACAGCAAAAAAAACAACCCATTTAGATGACTGGGAAAAATCTTGAAGAGAATGTGGACAGTTATTATAGAACATCCATGCATAGATAGTGACAGTGTATCTGTAAATATTTCATTGGAAGTAAGTCTGAGTGCGCTCATTTTTATTCCCTAGCACCATAGATTCATCGTTCTGAATCAGTTTAGAAGCCTCTTTAATCATCATTTTCAGGATTTGTTCCCAAATTAACCCAACTTTAGACAATGCTAAAAAGGTGAATACAGATGGTTGCTAAGCCAACCCAATGTAAAATGAATGAGCAACGTGTGTATGAAAGCTGTGGGTGTTTCTGGGGGGGGGGGGGGTTGATACTTCGAATTGAGTGACTTTAGTAATCCCCCAGTGACACATGAAGTCTTGATGGCACTTGACAGTGAGATGGACAGCATGTAAATTTAATAAATAAATGGCACAGGGTGTCCCATACCGCTTGTATTATACAGATTTCCTATGGGTAGGCTGAGATGACGAGCAAAATAGTTTGTAGGGTTTGTTGGTAATGTAAGTATTTAGATTTCTTTAAAAAAATTGAAGTGTATATGTTATGTGTGGCCTATTAATTAGCCACAGAAGCTGAAGACCATGGTTTTCTCTAGCCATAATACAATATATAGTATTATTAGAGCAATTGCTGGGAGCAAAGTGATGCCTTTTTGTCTTGCTTGTATTTTGCTCTAATCCAGCAAGCCTTTTACAGTATTATTGGAAATGTCAGGGGCCACTTGCAGAGGCCAGCAGTAAGCAAATTAAGTCACTTATTAGCCATGATAAATTTCTGTGTTCAGAAGCTGTCTATCTTTGAACACCAGGGGCTGGGAATACAGAAAAGGGAGAAGTCTTGCTGTAGGCTTTTCTACAGCAAGACTATTTCTATTTCTTTGACCACTTTGCGGACTTTTTTAGTCTGAGTTTGATGTCAGAGGTGCAGCTGGACAGCCTATTTACTTTTAGAATTCACTGTTGATTGCATTTTCTTCAGTGTAAGAAAACTCTGGGTTTTGATGAAATTTAACTTGTGAAATGTGCAGGCCTAGAGTTTTGGGATTAAACTTAGCTTGCATGCAACACGTTTGTATTGGTTTTGCTTTTGGTTCTGAGTTCCTGGGCTTCCTCTTGCTTTTCATCTGTGAATTTTATATGTGTGGTGAATTTAAACCTGAACTATTCCGTTTCGCTGGTGTATATTGCTTGATAGAGATAACCAAAGAAGAGTCAAAATAAATACTGCAAAATAAATTCCTTCTTCAACCATTGTTAGCAGAGAGGCAAAGAAGGAAGATCAAACACTAAGATTTGGAAGAATGTACCTAACCACTAAGGAGAATGGCTTAAAATGGAAATCCGATGATCTCAGTTAACATTACTTCCTGGGGGAAATGCCCTCTCTAGCTTATAACATGATGATAATATCTGTCATTCTTATTGGTTGGTTGCAAGAGTGGTGGGAAGAGAATGCCTTGAAAGAACTCAAATGATTGAAGTGCTTCCATTCACAGGTAGTCTTCAACTTTCAACCACAGTTGGGACTAGAATAGCCGTTGCTAAGAAAACGGTTGTTAAGTGAGTTGCGCCTGATCACTAAATTTGTTAAGTGAATCATTCGGGGAATTAAGCTTCCCCTTTGACGTTGCTTGTCAGAAGCCATCGGAGAAGGTGGCAGATGGCGAGCACTGTAGCCCAGGATGCTGCAACTGTCATAAATATATGCTGGTTGGCAAGGGGGCCAAAGTTTGATCATGTGACTGTGGGCTGCTTCAGTGGTCAAAAGTGTAAGGACCAGCCCTAAGTCATGTTTTTTCAGTGCCATTGTAATTTTGAATGGTCATCGCACGAATGGTGGTATGTTAGGACTGCCTTCGTTCATTGTGTCCTCATTTATTATATGTGGAGAGGTATTTTTCGTAAGATCTTTGGCAGCAAAAACAGCTGCTAGCCTTATGGTACCCAAGCATTTATTACTGCATAAGTTTTTGAAGATCATATTTCACTTGTGTCTTACGGAATAGATTGTGTCCTCTTAGATTAGAAGGGAGTGTGGTTCTCAATTTACAACAGTTCATTTACTGACCGTTCAGAGTTACAACATTACTTAAAAAAAAGTGACTTATGACCATTTTTCACACCGTTGCAGCATCCCCATGGTCACGCAATCCACAATTCAGACGGTTGGCAACTGATTCACATTTATGACGGTTGAAGTGTCCCAAGGTCATGTGTTCACCTTTTGCAACCTTCTGACAAGCAATGTCAATGGGCATACCAGAATTACCTAACAAACACATAACTAACTTAACAACTGCTATGATTCACTTACCATCTGTGGCAAGAAAGGCTGCAAAAGGGGCCAAAACTCACTTAACAAATAAATGTCTTGCTTAGCAACATGAACATTGCGCTCAATCGTAAATTGAGAAATACCTGTTACTGTAGAATGGAAACTTGTAGTATCTTCCTTCCAGTAATAACGAGCTATCTTCCCTTAAGGCACTTGCTGGGACAAGTGCTCTTTATCTCTTTTGCTACCCATTCTTGCATCTCCGTTGCCAGGTGGAGGAATGGTCAAAGAAGAAAGGGAAGATATTGCACAGTAAAGCTGTGTTGTTGCATCAGCACCTGCTTTTGTTTGGCACACTTCACAAACCTGGATAGCTCACCTAGTACTTTTCCCAACTCTTTGCTTACTTACTTTAACATCTGGATCTTAAAGAAGGCAGTGGGGAGTGAGTTGGCACAAATGGTGCAGTGTAAAGAGAGAGACAGATTCTTCGCATACAGTAGATTTAGTGTTCAGGGCTACGTCATTCCTACCAGTTGTCCAGGGAGCTTCACCAATCCATGGCATTCTCCAGCATATCCCATTTCATTATTCTTAGTCATCCAATGGCCGCTTTTCAGTTAAGGGCTTACAGAGTGGCTTACACTTGGAAACGCCGTTCATGTAATGTCGTGGGCTACATTTCATGCCCGGTGAAAAAGATTTCCATTTGCAAGGAGAGGAGTTTTCTCTTCTAAACCCTAATCCATCCAGTCCCTCGACTTTCTGGAGCAGATAAGGAGGGAGCATTCCAGTCTCCCAGATGATTTAGTTCTTACAATCGGTAAAAGACAAATAAAATTGTAGAGGGTGAAATTAAAAACATTAAAGTGCAAAGCAAGAACTAAAAACAAACAAACAGAAAACCCTGTTTTAGGAGGTTGTGTGTGTGTGTGTGTGTGTGAGAGAGAGAGAGAGAGAGAGAGAGTTTTCACCTGAAACTGAAAATAAAATGAAGATGCCATCAGATGACTCAGGAAGAGAAATACCACAGAAAACACACCACAATTAAAGAATGAGGAGCAAGTAGCCCTTAAAAGG